CATCTACACATTTATTTTAATGGCAGCTTGTCAGGAATAAAAGCTCAGCTTGTGCTGGTGTTCTGCTGAACCTGAAAATTTGTTACTGTGGTTGGAATTGCTAAACCGCTATCAGGATCAAGAAAGCAGGGTCACCCTTTCGGAGAGAACACCACTGCCACATTTCTTTTCTTTATGCATGAAAGGGGTAACACTGAGGGCTTTTGCCAGTCACTACCTTTAGCTCTTCCTCTGTCTTGGCCCAGCAAATATAGGACTTTGTCCTCTCTCACTTTCCCATGGTGCCTCTGATAATTCTCTGTATAGCTCCAGAATCCCCTTTTGTCCAAAACATTGAATCTGCAACTGTGAGCCATTGCTGAACGCTTTCCCTCTCTGCACTCATTTCCTTTCTTCCTTTGCATTCATTTTCTCTCCTTTCACATGCCTTAAAGGCTCTGAAAATGCCTGATGCCATTTATAGCAGGTCTGAACGTGCCCCTCTGAGACCCTCTGCTCTGTCAAAGCTTCCCTGTCCCCACATTCCCCGTTAACTGCCCAGTCCACTGTTACAGGTTCTCCCACAGAGCCCCATGGAGTGGAAACAACCCCACGCATTTGGAGATGCCTGCTTCCTCCCATCACTTCCATGCTTGAGAAAGAGCGCTGTTCTCACATCACACAGAATGGGGACCAGCTTGCAGAGAGGACTGGAAGCCACTGAGTCAACAGGGCCATTAGCAGAGGCATTGTAAGCAGCGACAAGGCCTGGACTTCAAAGGTCTCAGAGTCAGCATCTGTTCTTCCCTCTTCCACTCCAGTCTTGCCCCATAGCTAGAAAAAATACCTTGCAATTAAACTAACGTGGATTATGGTTCCTTTTATTCCCAGAAATTCTAGTGCGGTTATTTAACACACCACAGTATGGGTCAAACTTAAGGACATGCTCTTCTCTATCTCTTTCTCATGCCAGGTTATCTTGTGTCACACACCTCCACACCAGGAAAGGAGAGAACCAAACTACTGTGAGAGAGGTTATTCTTGGCCTATTTTCAGATTTCCAGGTGTGGGGTGCTTTTTTTAATCTTTGATTGCCCTCATATACTGGAAATATTTTAAAAATCCTAGCACTGCAGCAGGTGACTGTGTTGCATTTGGAGCACTGATTATTAGTCAGGAATACCTGCTCATTTTATAAATTCCCCGGAGTATTGGTATTTATATCGGTATCATTTATATCAGCAACAAGAAATTTGTGGTGCCACTGAGGTAATTTCCCAGGTGTCTTAGGGATGTGTTGATGTGCTACGTATTGTCTCTGAGGCTTAAAGACAAGGGGAGGTGGATGTGTGTCTCCTCTTGTCTCCACTGGAAACCACTTCTGAAAGGCGTTAGTAGCACAAGGTGGAGAGAAGAGTGCGTGTTCTTTGAGCCCAAGCATTTCATGCCCTGAGTTTCTATGAAATCCTGCAAAGTCACCTGTTTGTAGCAGGTTTGAGTGGAATGCATTTGCTGATGGAAACCAGACAACACACTTCCCTACGGCACATGTGCCCTTCCTTTCTCTTCCTTCTCCCCCCATGGAGTTCCAGGGAAAACTGACTTCAGCCTAGACTTCTTATAGGATACATACTGAACATCCAGAAGAACTTGCAGGGTGGCAATAAACAGGAAAAGTGGGGGAAAATGAACAACAGTCACTGTCAGAAAGCAGCTTTTCCTGCCTTCCCAGGGTCCCGAGTGGGGATGTGCCCGATGGGAAGATCCCACAGGAGGGCTTGTCCTTGCATGCTTCACCTGGAAGAAAGGCGGGCGGTGTGCTGAGGCCGGACCAGGAACCCGAGGGCTCTCCGAGAGCCACGGAAAGAAAGGTATGGAAGACACTGGCTGCTGGGCTTTGCATGGGCAGGCAGCTGTGGGGACCGGGGTGCTGGCTGCGATGAGCCCAAGCGCTTTCCTGCCCTCCCCACCCAGGAAGGGCAAACGCAGCTGGACCGCGGGGCACTTGCTGTCTCTCCAACGTTGTCCCTCGGGACGGTGCAGGAGGAACCTCCGGGAGACTTTGCTCCTCCAGAAACATTCACCCTCACCCTGTCCCTCACAGCCTGCACCCACCCTTTGGGAAGGCAGCTCCCTTCTTCCCTCCTCAGCAGCTTTCAGACCAAGTACAAACCTGAGCTGGAGGCAGGTGCTGCCCGTCAGGGCCAGTTGCCCTCCAGGCAGGTTGCCGCTCTCCTCAGCAAGGGCTGCGCTACAGCCGCCCTGCGCAGAGCTTTCTGCCTGCGTCCAGCCGCGTGCCCTTGGCCAGCCAGCAGACGCTAGTCCAACACGCAGCAGAAAAGGCCCAAAGTCCCACGTGGCGTTGCAAAAGCTTTTATTGTACCCTTAGACCATCGTGCCGGATCTGGCAAGAGCCTTGCAAACGTGACAGCCCTTGCCTCGCCAGCGCGGGGCAAGAGCTTCTGCCTTCTTCTCACTCGCCAGCAGCAGCGGCCCTTGGCCTGGGGCCTCTCTTCTTGCTCCTGGTCGTCTCCTTTTTGGGCGGCGAGGCCACACGCCGGCTTCGGGGGACAGCCCTGCGGCCGCGCCTGGGCACGCCGCCTCGCAGGAGCTGCTTGAGCAGAGAGCTCTTTCGCGCCGCCGCCTGCAAGTGCGACGGCGAAATGCGCTGCTGCTTGCTCTTCTTGGAAATCTTGCCGGCCGCGTCCATGGTCTTGTGCGTCACCCACTGCAGCACCGCAGCCAGGTAGACGGGGGCCCTGGCTCCCAAGCGCTCCGCAAAGCGGCCTCTGCGCAGCTGCCTGTCTACGCGGCTCACCGGGAAGAGCAGCCCGGCCCGGGAGGAGCGGGAGCAGCGGCTCTTTTTGGCCTTTGCTTCGCCGCCTTCGGAGAGGCCCCCGGCACACGCCGCTTCGGGCTCCGTCTCCCGCTCGGGCGCCGTGCAGCCCTCCTCTCCCCCGGCCATGCTGCCCACCCTCGCTCCCACGGGTCTCTCGGCGCTGCGCCTCCCCGAGCCCTCCCCGCCTTGCCCGCCCGTCCTCGCTTTCCTCCGCCGGCCCTCGCTGGCGTCCCCGTCTCTGGGCTCGCGTCGCCTGCGCCCGGCCTGGCCGAGCCTCGTCGGGGCAGGGCGGCCGGGACCGACCTCGCTTCGGCCGAGGCCCTCGGAAGACGGGCGCAGGCTCAAGCCCCCTCTCGCGCGGCGAGGGGAGAGGAGTTCCTTCCCCTATGACCTCACCTCTCTGCTTGTGACGTCACCCCCGCTGGCTCCGCCCTTTGCAGGTGAGCTCCGGGAGCAGCTCTGCTCCCCAGCTCTGCTCCCGCTTTCCGTGGCGGAGGCTTTCCCGGCGCTTGGCATGGCGGGGGGGGGCCGCTCCCCGGCCC